AATTTATTTCTACAAGGTCTTTAAAGTCCAATTCCATTATATTTGCACATCTTTCTATCCTATAGCTCTAATATATTTGTTTATGGCTGACTTGTAAGCTCCTGTTGTTTTAATCCTGTATATCTTGATGGCCACTTTTTACAGAGCTGTGCGCCTTTTTCTGCAATTTGTCCTTCATCTTTTTTTAAAAAAAGTTTCTGCCTTCTATTTCTGTTCTGACAAAGTCTTGACTTTTTCTTTGCCTTTCTTTGCTTGTTTATTCCTGGGCTGGGGGTCTTCCATCTTCTCCTTTTCCCAATCTTTGTGGAAAATGGCTTGAAGAACTTCTCTCTACACCAGTCTGAGAAAACAAAAGACATTTTTCTCTTGTCAGCTTTCTTAGCTACTGTCTCCTTTCTGGTTGCCTCTTCTCCTCTCTTTATTATTGGCAGTTGATCTAAAAGACAAAAGCTCTCCACCACTTCAATATCTTGTCATTTCTAAGCTTGGTTGCTATATCTGTTGTCATTAGATTGGTCCTACTCTTTTTAATCCTTGTCAATAAATATCATTAATACCCTGAAAGATCTTGACTTCCGATTTGAGCTTCTTCGGCAACAGACCGAAACCTTGTCTCTGTGAGGCTTTGATCAGTGCTCGCCACTGGAGCGCCCCGAGCCGGCTGGTTTCAGGGCTAAGCCATCCCGTAGAGGTGGTGAAGAAGGGGGAGACTGCCTGCAGGGTTGAGGAGAGCCGCATCTCTCCTCCCCAGCTGGCCATTACTCCCTTTCCCGAAGGTGGTTGTAGCAGTGGTCATAAATGGCCACCATAAAGAAGAACTCGACCGGAAAAGAATGTGCAGGAGGAAGATAAGAAGAGAAAGTTTTGGTTGACTGGGTCAAACAGCAAAAGCAACAAATAAGGTACCCTGGAATTTAAATTTAATAACATTGTTCCCAAAGAAGATTTTGAAGCTGCGAAGGAGAGAGAGAAGGGAAAGGATTAGGGTTTTTTTCCCCTTCCCTTCCTTATACTGACAGCTAAGAGATTTAAGCAAGAAATTGAAAAAAAAATCCACTTTGACATTAATAGGCATCTAAGCTGAAAATAAAAGTCAAAGGGAGAATAAAGATTTCTGGATATTTAAAAGTTTTTAAAAAGCAGGAAAGGAAAAAAAAAGAATAAAAGGGCAGGATCTGGAAAAATGGAGGAGACTGCCTGGAATTAAGGAATGGAACTGTAATTAAAAGGAACTTACAGTGAAATTTTAACAAGATTTCTCAAAGATACATTTTAATGGAAACTTGTTAACAAAATAATAGAATCCCAGAAAGAGAAAGTAGAAAAAAGAAGCAAGAAGAAACAGCTTTGGATTATTTGGATTAATTGGTGATTTTTGGTTTTTGCATCTGGATGACTAAAATTAACCGGGTGGTTGTTTAAAAGTTTTTAAAATGGTATCACTCTTAGAAGAACTGAAAATGGAACTTAAAAAATGGAAAGAAGATGGACAAGAAGGGAGAGGTTCCTTTGGCTTTGTATTTCAATTCTTAGAAATGGAGATCTGGAACTATGAGAAATAACAAGAAACGCTTGCAGAACAAGAAGATTGGGACAGAGAAGAAGCTATCTTTAATGATCAAATAATTTTAAGTGTGGGGGGGAAGAAAAGGGGGGAAAGAGAGTGAAAGGTTTAAGACTAGAAAAAACAACCAAAAAGAAGAAGAATTTGAAAGATAAGTATAATATTAGAAAGCAACAGAAGAGGGGATTACAGATGAGAGAGTTAGAAGTAGAGAGACGAGTGGGTAAAAAGGGGAGGGGGAAGATGAGGGGGAAGAAGGCAAGGAAAAGAAGATGTAAAAGACAGAAATAAGAAATGGAGAAACAGGGAAAAGATATAAGGATTGTAATCATAAGCTTGTTTAGAGATAATGGGTGAAAATTTAAATTGCAAAAGGGATTCTGCAAAGGTACATAAGATAGCATTGTTATATTACAAACAGAAATAATTTTATAAAATATGATTAAAATGATGGATAAAATATTTACTGTAAGATAGTTGAATGTTTGGTAATAAATAAATGAATTAAAATGGTTAAGAGAATTAAATGGGAACATTTTTAATTATTAGTAATGATTTATAAAAATATAAGTGAGAAATATGGAAAAAAAAGAATTAACTATGGAAAGTTTATAAGTGTTCCCAAGAAAGTATAATATTTAATTGAAAAGAAATGTTAAAGGTGTTAAGATTTTAATGAATATTAATGATAGAATTGAATTGGAATGGAATGTGTGCTTTATTTACATATATATATATATTCTGCCGAAACATTGCTACAACTTTAAAAACACAACTATAATGACGTGGGAAAATACCCGAACAAAGCTGAATACCATACATGTAAATACACACACACACACACACACATATACATATACATATACACATGTACATATACATACATGTTCTGTCTCACCTGTGACCACGAGGTGAGAATCCAAGCTTCCAAAGGAATATAAATAAACAGACAGGACCAGGAATGATAGAGTTAAATTCCTTTGACTGGATAAGTCCTTGGCAGTCTTCCAGAAGCTGCCTGCCAAGTCTGATAACAAACAAGACCGTAAATCAAAAGGCAAATGCCGCCCAGAGAATTTGTCAAGCTGCTATTCTGAATAAACAAATTGTCCTGAACGAGTATTCAGAGCTAACACGCCCTCTTTTATTTCCTGAGGGGCATGTCAGTCTCTCAAGTCAGTTCCTGATTTGACATTTCCTTTTACGTTACATTTCCCTCTTCTGCCTGCATCTTTGCCTTGCATCAAACCAACATTCCTCGGCTTGATCCTCAGCCAAGGACTCCGGCATGCTCTCCTGATTGTCTGCTGACACCTGAGGCACAACCAGGGAGGAAAGTCCCGGGGAGGGAGATGATTCCGAATCCTCCAGCAATGCAGGCTCAAACCTCAGAGCCAAGTCCTCCTCTTCCTCCTGGCTCAAGTCTGTGTCTTCCAGCAAGGCAGGCTCAAATCTCGATGCCAAATCCCACTCTCCCTCATTACTTAAGTCTGTATCTTCTGACAAGGCAGGTTCAGACCTCCGAGTCACAACACATACATACATACATATACATATACATGTACATGTACATGTATATGTATATGTAGATATATGTATATATACATACATATAATTTTTTCTTTTTAAGAATATAGTGTGTATTTTAAGAATGTACCAAGCAGAATTTGACTGGAAGTTATGTATTATATTGAATGCTATAATCTTAAAGGTATACATTGAAGCTTAAATAAGAGTTTGAATGGATAAAATTAAAAGATATAAAGGTGTCATACTCCAATTGGTAACTACAGGGAAAAATGTGTTTAATAAGAAAAGATAATATGAAATTGAAACAGGACAGACAAAAGTATAAATATAATGATTTGAATTGAGATGAGATAATTAAAATAAAGTTGAAAAAATTAAAAGAGGGGGAAAACTATGTAGAAAATATAAAACGGTAACAAGATATGGAATAGAATATAAAAATGAGCATGAAATTGAGTTTGGTGTCTGTGTGAAGAAGTGATAACCTGGGACCATGCTATTCTCAAAAAAGATGATTTATTTGTATCTTGTTTTTGTGAAAACCCAAATAAAAGTTCAAAAAAAACCCCAAACCCTGAAAGATCTTCAGTTGTTTCTTAGTACCATGGGTGACAGGCAACTTGAGGCCTGAGCAACTGGCATTGGATTGATTATCTATATGGGTTGTTTTTTTTTTTAGTAAAATACAGTGGCAATTGACCCTAGCATTCCCCTGCATCGCATAGAATGATAGCTTTGCTAGTGTCACTAAAATGGTTATCCACCTCTAGCATGTTCCTATATTGCTGTTTCTGCTTGCTTTACTTCAAGCAATTAGGATGATCTTCATCCTTTAGGCTTACTGGGAATATATACCCCTCATTTATTCCCAGGATTCCTTGTTTATACCTCCCAGGAATACACACAGACACAGACACAGACACAGACACAGACAGACGGACAGACAGACAGACAGACAGACAGACAGACAGACACACACACACACACACACACACACATTTATTCACACAGAGACACATTCTGCTACAATGAACAGAGTAGCAAGACTTGAGGGACCAAATATTTTACCATGGGCATGTTAAGATTCTCATATTATGTATCTTTTAGGAGTTGAGGTGCTGCAAATAAAGCTAATGGGTAAATTTTAAGAGTAGCTCCCTGCAAAGTGGTGGCAGTATGACAAAACCGATACATTTGCATGGAAAAATTGATACATTTGCATTGATACATTTGCATGGATTGACATTTTGTTGTTAGAAGGCGAACTTTCGTATTGATTAAAAAGAAAAAGTATGCTGTTGCTGTGGAGAAGCAAAATGAGTGATTTAGATTCATGATATTTCCAATATATTTCCAGGCATGCTTACTTTAAATCCTTCAGATCCTCTGGTTCTGTTGAAATTTAATTTTTATTGAACGGTGTAAATATGTCAGATTAACCAAGTAAAGAATTTATTGTGGAAATCCTGCTGAACATACATCAATGTTGTGCAAAAAGCTTTTGAATGGGACTCCAGAGAGCCATGCTTGAATGTTGTTGTTGTTTCAGTGTGCATTGACCGCAGCTAACACCTGCCATTCCCTCAGACAAGTGGCTCTGCCCTAAGAACTCTTAAGGGTTCTCTTGGGCTGTTGATTTCCCCAATTTTCTTCAATTATTTTTGATGTTATGAAGCTTGCTGGGCAATCTCGCTAACAGATGTGTTAACCTTTCCTTTTTTGTTGGCTTAGCCTGTCGCTGAAAACCTGTCAGAACCATTCTGTACCTTTGAGCAACAAAGCAGTTTGCACTAGAAGATAGAAGCTCATATACAGTATATTCAGTATAGAAGTTGGAAAGAGCCATTATTTGAGAAGTACATGATGATTCCCTGAAACTAGGGAATCTTAACTAGGGAATCTTAATTTAGTTTATAAAAGTCCCTTTTTTTCTGATCACACTGCCTGCAGCAGTTTGAACTTCCTTGTTCCTTATGCTGTAGATCAGTGGGTTTAACATGGGGATCATCACAGTATAAAACACAGAAAACACCTTGCCCTGGTCTGCTAGAAAACTATGGCTGGGCCGCACATATATACAGAAGAGGGTGACAAAGAAGATGGAAACGGCAGTGAGGTGGGTGGAACAGGTGGAGAAAGCCTTCCGCTGGCCCTCCACAGATCGGATCCTCAGGATGGCACAAAGAATATAGATGTAAGAGATAATAATAAAAATGCTGCTGAGAGAGCCAAGAGAGAAGGACATGATAAAAAGCACCATCTTGTTGATTTGTGTCTCAGAGCAGGAGAGGGATATGACAGCAGGGATATCACAGAAAAAGTGATTGATCTTGGACTTGCAGAAAGTTAATTGGAAAGTCATAACTGTATGTGTCATGGCATTTAATAGTCCAGCAAAACAAGGTGGAACTAAGAGTAACAGACAGGTTTTCCTAGACATAATAACCGTGTAAAGCAATGGATTAGAAATAGCTACATACCGATCATATGCCATGGATGCTAAGAGATAAGCTTCAGCAGCCACGAAGAAGGCAAAAAACCACATTTGTGCTGCACATTCACTTATGGAAATGGTTTTGCTTTCTGTTATAAAACCTATCAACATCTTTGGGGTGACCACAGAAGAATAGCAAAGGTCAAGAAATGACAGGTTACTGAGGAAGAAGTACATGGGGGTGTGAAGTCGAGAGTCTATCTGGATTAACAAAAACATCGCAAAATTTCCCAGCAAGGTAATGAAATAAGTTATCAGGAAGAAAATGAAGAGCAAAACCTGTAATTCTGGAGATCCAGCAAATCCAATCAAAATGAATTCATACACCAGTGTGTGATTTGCTTTTGCCATGTGTGCATTTTCTGCAAAGAAAAGTGGAAAGTAAGCTTAGCTGCAAAATACGGTATCATAAAACACTGAGAACAAATGGAAGAAAATAGAAAGGACATTTCCACATGTATTTTTTTTGCCCCCCAAAATCCCCAAATTCCAGCTGTTATCTAAAAAAATTTGAAACTTTGGATAACAAATAAAACTTGATTAAAAAACAACCAGATCACACACATCATGTGCAATTTCAACAAAAATACTACCAAACATGCCACTTAACCTTTCCAAATTTACATTTGTCCTGAAATTACACCCCATAAATGTCCTAATCTCTTAATGCTTTATGCTTTAATACTGTATTTTCTCCATTGTCCACCTCAACCATGAAATGATGTATTATCTAGATTTATTTCCTTCTTATTCCTGACTGTAACCCTAATCACTCTTACCTGGGATTAAATTGTATTTTGCAGAGAGAGGATCCTTTTAAGCAGTCAGATCAGAGAAAACCATGCATGGGTTCCAGAGAGTGACTCCTTGGGATGGATTTCTGGTCTTGCAGCACAGAAAGGTGTCTTTATATTTGTCCTTCAGCCTTCTGACTAGAGTTTGGGGAATGTACTGCCACCATTAGGTAGTGCCCAATAATCATTATTATTTTTTTATTCCAGAGGGCATAATGATTACTTGCACTGAAAAAAATGTATTTAATTTGAAGGGGATTCAGTTTCTGCCTGTTAGTGCACATTTCTCATTGGTTGTCTTGGCAAAATAAACCTATGGCTTGGAATCTGTGAAACAGGTCAGATTTCCTTTTTAAAAAAATAATAATAAAAAGGCTTTTTTAAATAACAAAACCAAAAAAATAAAACCATCTTTCAATTATACAGTGTGTTGACTGGGTACCTATATATTGTGCACATATTAATATTTGTATACATTTCTTACTAAGTTTACATTCATACTATAGCCTATTCAGCATTAGGTCAGATTTCCAAAAGTCAGGACAGCTGTCCTTATGTATTTGAATGGTTGACATATAGAAGGTGGGTTATAGTAGGAGAACCTGTACTCAGGGGTGGGCTTCAAAAATTTTAGCAAAGGGTTCTCTGCCTGTTTGCTGGGTGGGTGCGGCCATGGTGGACGTGGCCTAGTTATCCTCCTGCACCACAGGAAAGGGGGGCATTCTTGTCCTCCCTGGGCTCCAGAAGCTTTTCTTGAGCCTCTGAGAGGGTGAAAACGGTGCCCCTGGGCTCTGGAGGCTCTCTGGAAGCCAGAAATGGACACATTTCTGGCCTTCCTGAACTTCCAGAAGTCTGTTTTTTGTCCTCCCTGAGCCTCTGCGCAAGCCCTGCACTTACCTGCATCCAAAATGGGCTGCATGGTGACCCCTGGAAGGGGATGGGCAAGGAGGCGGGGCCAGCCAGGAGTTGGATTTGGTGTTCTCCAAATTGCACAGAATCTTAGCTAATCTTAGCCTGAACTCCTGCGAACCCCCAGCAGCCCACCCCTTTCTATAGGAATCGCCTACTTGGGTGGTACACTCTCCTTTGCTGGAGGGGATCTCTTAGATGATCTCCAGGATCATCTCTAGCCCTTTTATTCTAAAATTCTCTAAGTAGTTTTATACACATCTTTCACACCGATTTCCCTAAACATTTTTTAAAAACCACTTCCCGTGAAATATTGAACAGGCTTTTATTTTTACAAAGGCATCTTGAAATGGGAATGGCACATTCCTGCCTTCTTTCTTAAAGCAGATACTCTGTAATTTGGCCAACAGCTAAAGGGACTGCCTAAAGTGGTTCAGCATTGTGCCAGATTTTCTCCTTTAAAACACATTAATGATGGAGATGCTATGGAGATGCAACTGGTGAAACCATGTGAGAGATATCTTTGCCTACATGTTTCACCAACCTTATTCTGCCTTTAGTCAAGGGAATCTTACTTTGCAGTTTGGAAAACAAAAGTCTAGTCAGGTCTTTCTTTGTAGTCAGAGCATTTTCCCCTGCATCATTTAGATCGGTTTGAGTGGAGAGTCATGTAGGGCACCAAAAATGTAGATAAGGGTCAACCAAGGAGAATCTAGGTTCAGCCACTGGCTATGCAAAAGAAAATCTTGTTTTGGGTGGTCCATGTCTCCAAGCTGGGTACCAACTGGAGCTCCAGTTCTGGGTACCAACTGGAGCTCCAGTCAGGAGGAAAGAGGTAATCTTCCACCAACCTAAAGTGCTTAATTGGTGCTATGCTGATCCCATTCCCTGAATGGAATCCGTTGAGTGTACTGCCGGCAGAACAGTTAGCCAGGCATCTCTGATTGTGTCTAGGGCAAAATCTTTTCTATTATGGGAAAAAAAAACAACCTAGTTGAACACCAGGACAGCTAAGGAAAACTCAAGGTGACCTTAGTTTGGAGATCAGTGGACTCTCCAGAGAGATTACAGCAGAAGAGTTTCCCAAAACATGGATGGGCAACAGGTAGATACAAACTTCTTAACTGAAATTTGTGAGTACTTCCTCCCACCCCCCACTGCCTATGGTCTCAAGTGAAAATCAAAAACAGGATGAATCTCCAGGAACTTTCTCCCATCTTGACCAACTTGACCATAGGTATATGCATCTAACATTTATCTTCTAACAGAGAATTATATATCTAAACAACAGTTTGGGGTTTGTGTGTAGCTGAGTGCTGCACTTGACCTTTGAACATCATGACAGAGGATACACTAAGTAAAAATCCATATATATGTGCAGTTTGCTTGGAAATCACATAAAATTGCCTTCTTCCAAGAAGCATTTTTTGATATCCCAGGCTAATCAGAAGTCCCAGGATTTTTTGGTATCTCCCGTCCAACATGTAACCATGGCTGACTTTGCTTAATTTCTGGGCCCAGACAAGATAAGCCAGGTGCTACCCCTTGCTGAGCCTCTGTTTGATTTTCTTTATGTTAAAATGAAAAAAAAAGACCAACATTTTTACTTGCCGTTTATCTGATAGCTTTCCATTTCATTCAATGGAAACTTTGGGAGGATTCTGGGGGCAGCACATAAGACCTTCAGTGTTGCAAGAGACCCTATCGTCTTTGAACACCTAAAGGGAAATAAACCTTTTTTAAAAACTCTGCTTGAAGGCAGATATTTCTTTCCCCTAGACCAGTGTTTTCTTGGCAGGTAAAGGTTGTGAGACCCTGCCAGGATGAGATCAACATTCTTTTTTTTTAAAAAAAAAATTATTTTCTTCTTCTTTTTTTAGATTTTTTAAAATTGGTTTTTAAAAACAAATATAAACAAACAAAACATAAAAACATCAAGCTATCTTCTATATGTGTACATACAGTGTGCTGGTTGGTTTACAAATTGTTTTGTGCTTCCATTTTGTAGTCTTCAATTACAATTACATTGCATATAATCTCAAATTTTCAATCAAAAATTAAATACCTTAGTATCATTATTAATCAATCATTTGACTATACTTTTATTCATTCATGTTTTACAAGATAATCATAATTTACTTAGTTTATTTTATAACAGTTCATATTATCATCCCAAATCTATCCTAAAATCATTTTGTAGATATAATGAATAATATAAGTACATAATAATATAATAATAATATAATAAGCACATCTTTATATATTTATATATTTATTATTTTCTAAAAGTCTACATATTTTATTACTGTACTTTATTATCTAACTATTGATAGAAAAGATCCCAAATTTTATAAAATTGTTTATCCTCTTGTTCTCTAATTTCAAATGTCAATCTACTCATTTCAGCACTTTCCAATATTTTCTTAATGATTTCCTCCTGTGATGGTATTTTCTCATTTTCTCATTCTCAATGAGAGATCAACATTCTTTATGGAACTTTATGTGAAACTGTATGTGCTCATCTCTCAGGACTGAAAAGACTACAGTTAGTTAATACAGGGGTGGTGGAATAAGAAAAGTGAAAAAAATATTATCTACAACAGAAATAATTAGCAATCATAGAAGCTCAGGATTAATTTTATTGACTCTACAATACTGTTTTGTAACAACTACAAAAGAAAATTTTATTCCGCATGATTTTTGTTATTAAAACCTTACCTGTTGTATTTTAAAAGCAAACAATCTAAATTTTATTTTATTTATTATTAAACTTCTATGCCATCCATCTCACTGAGGCAACTCTAAGCAGCTTACAATTTAAAGGCAATCATAAAACTTAAATCATTATTTCTCTTTTTGGAGAAAGATTCATTACTTAGGAGACTAGGCCAAGATTCATGGAAATCTTTTTCTTCTGATCACTCTCCCTATGGAATCTTGTACTTCCTTGTTCCTTATGCTGTAGATCAGTGGGTTTAACATGGGGATGACCACTGCATAAAACACAGAAAACATCTTGCCCTGGTCTGCTAGAAAACTATGGCTGGGCCGCACATATATACAGAAGAGAGTGACAAAGAAGATGGAAACGGCAATGAAGTGGGTGGAACAGGTGGAGAAAGCCTTCCGCTGGCCCTCCACAGATCGGATCCTCAGGATGGCACAAAGAATATAGATGTAAGAGATAATAATAAAAATGCTGCTGAGAGAGCCATGAGTGAAGGACATCATAAAAAGCACCATCTTGTTGATTTGTGTCTCAGAGCAGGAGAGGGATATGACAGCAGGGATATCACAGAAAAAATGATTGATCTTGGACTTGCAGAAAGTTAATTGGAAAGTCATAACTGTATGTGTCATGGCATTTAATAGTCCAGCAAAACAAGGTGGAACTAAGAGTAACAGACAGGTTTTCCTAGACATAATAACCGTGTAAAGCAATGGATTAGAAATAGCTACATACCGATCATATGCCATGGATGCTAAGAGATAACATTCAGCAGCCACGAAGAAGGCAAAAAACCACATTTGTGTTGCACATTCACTTATGGAAATGGTTTTGCTTTCTGTTATAAAACCTATCAACATCTTTGGGGTGACCACAGAAGAATAGCAAAGGTCAAGTAATGACAGGTTACTGAGGAAGAAGTACATGGGGGTGTGAAGTCGAGAGTCTATCTGAATTAACAGAAACATTGCAAAATTTCCCAGCAAGGTAATGAAATAAATTATCAGGAAGAAAATGAAGAGCAAAACCTGTAATTCTGGAGACCCAGCAAATCCAAGTAGGATGAATTCATACACCAAGGTATAGTTTGTTTTTGCCATCTGTCCTTTTCTGCAAATAAAAGTAGAAAGTAAGTTCAGCTACAAATGTTCCTCATGAAAAGAAAGTGAAGACAAAGCAGACTTCATTCCTCCATATAGCACACAGTGCTTTGTCTCATGCAAATCAATCGATCAATCAATCACAATTTCAACTCTTAGTTAAAAATGTTTTGGGTGAGAATTGAAAGTTGATTTAAAAAAAACCAGGCTACAATACTATTAAACATGCCAATGTTTCAAGATTTTGACAGTTCTATTGCCTGCTTAGCTTCCCCTTGTTTTGAATTTATACCTCATAATCACTTTAGTGCTGTAATACTGCATTATTCCCTCCCTCCACCTCAATTATGAAATGATGCATTATTTAGATTTTTTTTTCTTTCTCATTCCTGACTTTTTAGACTTAGAATAACTTTATTGTCACTTTGAATTTACACTAATCGGCACACATTAAAATGAAAATTCGTTGCATACAGCTCTCAAAGGCTTTAATATACAGTACATAAACATGACAAAATAAATAAATACAAAATTATGCATATATCAGACATATATTATATGACATGGAGAAACAACACAGTTTCATTTGGATGTATACATATATATGGCGAGAAAGAAGAATCCTGCGAGTTTACCAGACGGATGGCATAGGGAACAAAGCTATTACAGATGCTAGAAATATTTTGAAAGCTCCTCCCTGTAGTGGGTCCTAGACTCTTTTACCTGAGTCTAAATTGCATTTTGCTGAGAGAGAAATCCTTAAGCAGTCAGACATGCATGGGCTTCAGAAAAGGACTCCTTAGGATGGATCTCTGGTCTTGCGACACAGAAAGGCGTCTTTATATTTGCTTGGGTCTTTCAGCTTGCTTGCTGGAGTTTTGGAGGAGTGTACTGACACCATCAGGTGGTAACCAGCAATTATAATTTTTTATTCCAGTGGGTATAAAGATTACTTGCACTGGAAAAAAATGTATTTAATCTGAAGATGCTTTGGTTTCTGCCTGTTAGTGCACAGTTTTCATTGGCTATCTTTGCAACATATGTCTTGGAATCTGCAGTACCTGCAGGCCAGATCTCCAAGAGTCTCATATTCTTCAGCATTTTCTAAAGCCATCTTGAGTGTCTAGCATCTCTTTCAATTTAGGGATCTAAACTGCATTGGAAGATTTTACAGAGGTACATAGATCATGAGAGATGGGGAAGAGATTCTGCCTAGAACACTGTCAGATAAAAGAAGCCTAGCCTGCAGTTGCATAATGGTTGGAGAATGAGTCTTAAAAGGGACCCCCCCCCACCAAAAAGTTATCAGGCTGTAAAGGAGATAGCAGATTATTTGTACTTAAAGATAGCAAATTTATGTTAATGTCGCCTTCAAAAAAGTACAATTTACTTATTTGGAACCACTATGTTTGGAAATCAACTGGCTCACCTTATCCCAAGGGCTTTAAAATGAAAACTGATGAGGAGGGAAGCCAATTTTTAGAACCTAATCTCAAGCATAATAGCAATAGCACTTAGACTTATATACCGTTCCATAGTACTTTACAGGACTCTGAATGATTTACAAATGACAGCATATTGCTCCCAGCAGTCTGGGCCCTCATTTTATTGATCTCAGAAGGATGGTAGGTTGAGTCAATCTTGAGCAGGTCAGTATCAAACTCCTGGCTGTGGGCCGAGCTAGCCTGCAATACTGCATTCTAATCATTGCACCATCATGGTTCCATAAACCTCAAGACAACCAATCAAATATTGAGATAAGGACTGGTAAGAAGGAAGGGAAACTCAGATATAAAACAGGTAGATACGTATGAGACAATAAAAAAACTCAATGTAGATCTAGACTGTATCAACAGAGGGATAATAGCACATGAAGTAATAGTGCTGCTTTATACTGCACTGGAAGGACCACACTTGGAATACAGTGTTTAGTTTTGGTCAGCACAATACAAAAAAGATGCTAAGACTCTAGAAAGAGTGTAGAGAAGAGCAACAAAATAATAAGGAGTTTGGAGTCTAAGCCATATTGATGAACTGTTGTGGGAACTAAGTAAGTCTAGTCTAACAAAGAGAAAGACTAGATTGACATGATAGCAGCCTCCCAGTACTTGAGGAGCTGTCACAGAGGAGGGGGTGGCAATCTATTCTCCAAAGTGCCTAAGGGAAGGACAAGAGTAGGTGGAAGCCCATTAAAGAGAGGTTCAAACTAGAATTAAGGAGAAATTTCCTGATAGTGAGAGCAATTAATCAGTGGAATGATTAATCTCTGCAAGTTGTGATTGCTCATTCACTGGAGATCTTCAAGAACAGATTGGACAATCATTTGTCTGGAATGCTACAGGAAGAAGAGCTTGAGCAGGAGATGGGATTAGAAGATCTCCAAGATCTCTTCCAATCCTGGTATTCTATGTTATCCTATGACTGGTCTTTCTGGGAATGTTGACAGTTCTTAAGCATTATTTTACTCCATGTGAAATTAAGGCCATAGTATGTTAGTTTGCACATTCTCCTAGTTTTCCCTTTTTTGGTACTGGAATGTAGATTGATTCTTTTAATTCAGGGGTTTCCAAACTTGACAGCTTTAAGACTTGTGGACTTCAACTCCCAGAATTCCTCCTCCAGTCATGTTAGCTCAGGAATTCTGGGAGTTGAAGTCCACAAGTCTTAAATTTGCCAAGTTTGAAGACCCTTGTTTTAATTAGTTGACCACTGTATTGTTTTCTAGATTTATTGGCACACTATGGTTAAACCTTTATTGATTCTTCAGTTCCTTGCCATATTTCTATTTGTATTCCATCAGTTCCAAGTACCTGTTAACTAAGCAATGTCAAAAGGGCTGATCCAACTTTATCTTCTAGTTCTTGAGCTTTTTGTAAATAAAGACTATCTTCTAAGATATCTTGGGTGTTGGCATGTCTCCTGAAATGATATTTCAATGTACTTCTTTGAATCAGTTATTGTCTGTTCATTGGTATCCTTTAACATAACAGTTTGGAGAGAGCTTCCGGTGGCAAGGCAAGGACGGACAGAGGGGCAGAAATCCGCTCGTGATTCTAGCCTCCCTTTTCTTGAGTTTGGTGCGATCTTTCGGGGTGCTCGAGTCTTGGAGAGACCCGTGCCGGTGTGGGAGAACCTCGGGCTGCAGTGTGGGGAAAGCAACCCCCCTGTAACGAAGAGGAAGCCCTCCAGAGCCCAACGATCAAGAACAGCCTCCTAACAATGGAGGCTCCGAAGTCCGGACTGCCACCGATGGGAAGAAAAAAGTGAGTGAAAGTTTGCAAGCTCGGGGGGGAAAGAGAGTCGTGGCAGAGAAGATATTTGACTGACAATAGACTGATTTCAGGCTGTTAAATACTGTGTGAATGCCAGCTGTGAGCTCCAAGACGAAGCGGCTACAAAAGAATTGGTTTAGTGAATGTGAAAGAGCTTGGCAGGCAGAAGAGAGTCGGAAATAAAAAAGAAGTAAAGAGAATTTTGGAAGTCTGAAGACTCTATTATCACTAACATTTGGATTGAAGCTATTAAATTGGATCCAGAAGCAGAACGAAGCCGATCGGGGGGAAAGACAGAGCAACGCCATAGGCAGTATCCAGAACGCTGAAACGAGTGGGAATATTGCTTACTGGCAGCTGTTACTCAGCAAATCTTCATTTGCCATTTCCAGTGTGCTAGAAGTGGAAGCTTCCAAAGTGAAAAGCGGAAACAAAAACTCTTGTCTTTGGAATTTTCTTTTTTCTTTTCCTCAACCCTTTTCTGTGTGTACATACTTACTAAAATAGCCTCTCTTCTTTCTTACTTGTTGATGGTATGCTATGTTGAAATATGCTTGCTTTTTTTTTTTTTCCCTCTGATTTCCTCTTGATAAATATGTACATTCAGTAATGAAATATTAGAGTGTTAAAATATTGGATTAATTTAGTTAAGTTATTATTAATAGAGATTGATATAATTTGAATGGGAATATAGGGGAGACAGTAAGAATATTAAGCACTAGTTACTTAATAAGCTTAGAGCTCTCTAGACCAATATTATATTTCTTTGTGTGGGTTTATCTGTGAATGTAATATATTTTATAGTTAAGGTTACTTTATATTGAAGTTAAACTAGAGAAAAATATATACACTTTACTAATTAGTCAAGAATATAGCTACTTAATAGGTTGATAGATCTTGGTCAATTTTAGTTACAGAACTAAGAATACTGAATGCCAATTTGGAATAATATATTCAATATTGTACAACAACAAAAACAAATTTTAAAGGAAATGACTACTACAACTACCACTGCTTTGAAATCTGGTAGGAAGGTTAATCCCACAATAATGACTACTTTGACAACAACTTCACCCATGGCACAAAAAACAATAGAGGAAACACTACCAACAGAGAAGTCAACTAGCATCTCGAATGCGAATATCCAAGCAATGTTCCTAACTTTACAGGACTCATTGACAAGATTGCAAGAAACAATGATTAAAAACCACAGTGAAACAAGGGCAGATATCAATGAATTGAAGGAAGAAATGGGGAAACTAAAGACAGAAATGAAAGCGGACATTTCCAAAGTAGAGGATAAAGTGGGGGTGTTGTAGCAGGCCTTGGAGAAAAATGAAGTTATAATAAAAGAAGTAGAGAAAAGAACCGAACGAACAGAAAGGGAATTAGAAAGGGTGGATGAAGATCTCAAAAGCATGAGCAAAGAAATGGAGGACTCCCTTGTCCTCCTAGAAATGGACAAGGCAGCAACTTACCTAAGATTCCAAAATGTGACAGAATCAAAAGAAGAAGACCTGGAATACTTGATGGCAGAAATACTGGCCAGTTTATTGAAGATGGATAAAGATGAAATTCAAAAAGAGTTTGATGAAGTCTACCGGGTCAATACAAATTATGCAAGACGCCACAATTGTTCTAGGGAAGTACATATACGATTCACTAGAAGATGTGTTCGAGACATGATATATAGAACCTCAAGAGATAAAACTATAACCTACAAAGAGA